ATCTATCGATCCTGACCGAGTTGCGGGCTGTGCTTTGTCATCCTTTCTCAGATGGACGTAGGTAGCGGTCAATCGTAAGGGGAGGAGGACATCAATCACGAAAGATAATATCGTAAAACAGAAATACAGCTTCATAAGCCGAAATCTGAGCCGTACAACTATTGACTGACAAGCCAAAATATAATAAAGAGAGCCAGAATTGCAAAACCAAGTTATCGCTTCTTTCTCCACGCATTCGTAATTGTTTCTTTTTTTATCAATTCAGAATAAAGTACCTCCAAATTATATGATGGAAATTCCGTGGAATATGAAGCAGAGGGAGCTAGGTGAATATGTAAACAAGAGCACCTAAAGAGAAACTGGAAAATTGTCATTTAAAGAAGTAATATAGGAATCTAATAAAGTCAGATACAAATTGTTTTCCCTATTTTTTTTTAATCACACTGTTTTTGGTAAATTCTAAGTATATATTCTTTGATTGAAATTTATAATATTGTAAAATAAAAGATAAATAAAACAATAGCACTATATTTTCTAAATTGTTCTTTTAATTTCTCCTTTGCGTTGGAGGGGAAATTCAGTACAACCAAAAAAAAAAAAAAAATCAGGAAAAAAATAGATGTCACAATAGAAACTGTGATGCCCAACACCTTACAAACCTAAAGTAAAATAAAGAGGCCAGTTATTTATCAAAGCGAGGTAAAATTTCAAAGACCATGAAATTTAATCTGAATCCGTTCAAATCATCAATCATCACACTTGTTGTGGCCTTCAACTCGACATTTAGATATGTCAAAGATGCATTATCACTTCAATCCATATGTCCATATGGTATATCCTAGTGAACTTGAAATAAAAGATACACCAGAGTCTGACACGTCTGTTTCATATTTGGAAGTCAACTTCGATTACTTAAACCTGCATATGGGGTTTATATCTCTCAGTTGATTCGATACACAAGAGAATGTTCTACGTGCTGTAGCTTCCTTATTTTCGCGAGAACTTATTATCGCGAAAATTTATAACAGGTTGATGAAAGTTATAAAAAGAAGTTGTAATTTTATTTGGAAAAAGAATGCGATAATTAATTCAAAAGAATTTTATGAACAATTTATAAAACGAGGAAAGTTAAAAAATCACTTTATATTAGTTCTATGGTCGATACAATGAAGTTGTCAGCAAATAAAATCTAACTTTGAGTCAATTGGTGACTGACGTTTTTCATACTAATTGTAAGGTCTTTTTTTTTTTTTACACTTTCTATGTCAACGGATATTATCGTTGTTTTCCGATAATTACAAGGAGCACACGGCCAGTCTGACCGTCCGCCGAGAATGCTTACTCTCTCATTGCACCTGATCCTATCTCTGATGTTTTTGAGGTCCTTGTTTGCTCTGCTCCTGAATTGTTTCGTTTAAATGGGCTTTAGAGCTTGAATACTATTCGTTATCTCCATATATTTCACACTAAACATATATATTTCAATATCTACAGAAAAAAATTCCAACTGATTGAGGGATGCGGGCAAACTTTTATTTCATTAATGGAACAGGAAGTATTTCGATAATACTTTCATACATTGATATTTAAGTAGCCTTTCTGATATAAATACTTTCATTGATATTTATACATTATCAAGATATGCCCAAAATGAGTTAAAATTAGATAATCTTCAATAGCATATATGTATACTAATTGAGACACCACCACTTGCTGGTGGAAGTTTTAAATTTAAGACTTATACTGAAACTTAGGGCCTTTGAGCAGTGTGGTATCTTTTTCGTGGTCTCACTCACTGAAACAATGGTACTTAGTTTATATAGTCTTTTCTGAAGGACAAATCTCTACATCCCAAAGTGGGACTCGAACCCCTAACACAGAGATCAACTCCTTACTCTGCTACTTTAGAGCCCACACCATGACCTTATGTACTAGTATTCATTAATGTAATCTTATATATATATTTGTTTACTTGAAAAAGACGTTAATGGTAATCCAGCAATTAAAGTCTATGGTAAACGTGATGACTTTAATTTTTCAATCGTAAACTTCCATTATTTATGCAGCAATATACATGTACCTTCATCACCTGCATACGGAGTTTATATCTTTCAAATTATTCGATACTCAAAAGCATACTCTGCATATGTACAATTTCTATAACGAAGTAAATTATTGACAAACCAGTTGATGAAACAAGAATATCAACTTCATTTAAAGTCATCATTTCGTAAGTTCTTAATTAAGTCGATAGAACTGACCTTGTCAGCAAATACAATATATCATTTAGTCAAATGCTGACTGATGATTTTCTTACTAATTTGTTTGGTCATTATTTACACACTGAAATGATGGCTTTAAACGAGACTGCTGACATTTGTGTTTCATCAACTGGTCAATAATTTACCCTTTTTTTAAAAGAAATTGTATATACGTATAGCATGCTCTTGCGTATCGAATCAACTGAAAGATATGGGAGATATAAATCCCGTACCATGCAGGTGATGCAGGTATAAGTAAGGGAAGTTGACGATTAAATACGTCTCCAAAATCCACATATATATGTATATTGTCAACCAGAAGGTAAAGCATCTTTTTATATCAACTTCAAAGTTGTTGTGTGTACATTCAGAATTTTTTTAAACAAAATAATTTTGCAAATGACCAATGACAAGGTATGTAAATTTTCGAATTCCATTTTTATTGAAGAAGCAGCTGTCAGTGATATCAAAAAGCCTGGACTTTAATTTATCATGGGGAATAGTTGTGTATAAAGTTGAAAAGTCGTAAGTTTTTAAGCTGTTGATTTTGGTAAAATCGTGTGATTTCCAATTTTTCCAAAATTTCCTTGGAATACATTACTGGAACCCGCTATTTATCTTTATTTGTAAGGATTTGATGTTGTTTCTGAATCCAATATAGATATCATAATTCAAATTCATTTTGGTTGTTTGGGATATTAAAAATATTCAAAACTGTAACAATTAGAATGACTACTTTAGTAAGGATTTGACTGACCGATATTGATAGATTGTATTTGCAGACAAAATATATCGACCATATAACTTGCAAAATGATGACTTTAAATGAGACTATTATAATCTTGCTCCATCAACTTGTTTGTCATTATTTTGTCTTGTTTAATAATTTGTTTATATGTAGAGAATTCTCTTGCTTATGTAATCAATTAGGAGACATAAACACCATGTACAGATGATTTTGGAATATTGAGAAAATTTGACGATTGAATACATAAAGTAATCACGTTAATCATAAAGTTTTGTAGTTAGAGTAACATCAAAGTCTTTTTCTAGTTATATATCTGATTATGAAACAGATGTGTCATACTTTGTGTTTTTTAAAGTTTACTGGGAGATATAAGTAGACAGAGGAATGGATTTTTATATAATAGGTCTTCAATATATGTTAATGTCGAGTTAAGGTCACTACAAGTGTTTTCCTCTTTCCCTTGTTAAAAGTTTCAAATAAATTCTACTTCATATGAATACAAAACGGTCTGCAAATTAAAGGGAGCAATTGGTACTTAAATTTTTTTGAGACTGTTGGAAGACTCAAACTCCAAAAACTGCATAGATACTGTCAATCAGAAGCTTAAAAATTTTTATATTAACACCAGAGTATTTGTCTATACAATAAGATTTTGTTTTTTAAGAAAATACTTTTACAAATTATCAATGCCAAGGTAAATAAATTTATGAGTTCCATTTTTTTTTAATTGAAAAAGCAGCTGCTTAGGATATCAAAATCATAAACTTAAAATTTTTAATTTTGGTATCAAATTTTTTGATTTCAAGTTTTTACAAAGTTCTTTGGGGTCTTTTAGCATCCAAATCTGACTAACAACATTTCTAAAATATAAGGTTGAACTTCCTCATTCCCTTTGTTAATTTAATGAAGAGCAATTAAGAGGCTTGGGAAAACGTTTACTGGAAGCCTCTATATATCTTTGTTTTTAAAGAATTTTATAAAGTCCAGGAACCCACTTTAAGTTAGGTAATTCAAATCCATCTTCTGTGTTGGAGAAATTAGAAATATTTATAACTGACAAATGATTTTGAAGAATTTTTTCCAGCAGAAAAGGGGCTATCTGTATAAGATGGATTACAACTTGCAGAAAAAAGGAACTATACCATCTACTTACAATATAAGAATTAAGAGAAAATTTTTGGTGAAAAAGTTTTTTTTTCCACTCCCAAATCTCGTAAACGAGACAAACTGAAGCACACAAAAATTTTAAAGTTACAAAAGTAAAAATGTGAAGCTTGGGATTGCATAATATTTCATTCTTGACGGCGAGAACAGGGCGATTTATTGACACGACTGATAAAAAAAGAGGAATTTTTAATTTGCGTAGATCATGTTGATTGTTAAGTATTTCTTATTTTCGTTTAACTGTATGGGTAGGGAAATCTACAGTTGTAGACGTTCTATATCAGATCAATGAGACCGATACACGAGTTAGTCATCTTAGAATATCTTACACCAGAATCAATCATTGCTTGCCGAGGGAACAAACTCACCACCAATTTAATTAAAAACAATTTATGTTTAAAGAGTACTGAGGTGAAAGATTTTGAGTTCATTTACTTGCACTCTAGTTCATAGAGTAAAAATTTGGTTAATCCAATTTCAACCTTACCTGTCAGCACAAAAGTTAACGATGTTAAAAAATGGATAAGAGGGTTTTCTTGGATTACCGTTCAAAAGTAAAGAATGAAACAGTCTTTATGTTTCAGTGATTTTTGGGCGATAAACAAATCACATTTACACTGGAAAGCGTATCTCAGAACAATAAAACTCTTAAACCACGATTTAGATGGCTGAACGAGATTACCCTTACCCCTGCTGGGGTTGGCTTACACGGTTCCTTTGCTGAAATTCTGGCAAGGGTTTTCGCAAGGTATTGCGTAAAATTGTTTGTCTTAATTTAAAAACACATGTTTCTTTCAGGACATTGATTGCTTTAGTTTTTTGAATTTTAAAAGACTGCTTTTTACTTATAATGCGTATTGCTGACATTGCATTTGAGTTTTGAAGTTGAAAATGAAAGCTGATTTTATCATGAATTCTCTGCTTCAAATCTTCTGTATTTTGGTAAGTTTTTTTCCTATATTGTTGTTGCTCGCTAATCAAAATATTTGTATTCTTATTGTTTTTTAGCTTGTTATATTTAAAACAATAATGACAGATGATACAAAAAAAATTTTCTTCGGAGGAGATTTGAGATCATGTCACAGATTTAGAAAAGTGGAAAATTCTTGGAATTGACTTGAAATAGACTTGGAAAATATTAGTAATATTTCAATAAAATAACAAATATGGACAAAACACACTCAGTAAAGGTTTACAGATGAAAACAAATTGCAGCTAACAAGCCAGGTGAATTTTATTAGGAAAAGCAAAATAGTAAAAATCAGCGTATGTGATTTTTCTGATTTTTTGTCATTTTCTTAAAAGTTAAGAATTGATACCCAAAAATAACTTTCAAATTTAGTTTTATTGTTGTCAACCTTGATTTATTTTAGAAATTAATGCTAGGGATAAAAGCTTTTTCTGGTGAGTACATCTTACTGTTGTCCTGCTCTGATATTCTTATAAAAATCTGGAATTTGAAAAAAAAATTGAAATTTTAGATAAGAAACTGAACGAGGATAAAAGAATGGTTTTTATAATAAACTATTGACTAAAAGTTTTATCTCCAAACTTTGATTTGGCTATGTTAAATAACATCTCTAAAAATGATATGACGTTGTCATATTCTAACTATTCTCTGACTCTTCTCTTCAGAATACCGTAATACTATATGTCTGCACGAACAACACATTCTTGTAACTCCGTTTATATCTAGTGTCAGTGGGAAATTCGTTGTCCAATTTCTCGTCTGTATCGCTGGACAACAAGCCCAGTTCTGAAGGTCATAAAAGGACGCAGAATCCCTGGGAGCTGTATGTAACCATTCCACTAAACACTGGCTCCATTACCCTGGAGCTTTATAAACAAAACATTCACACGAGCCGGCGACACAGGGAGTGGACCTCAGGAAATATCACATACTCCGAGATATTAGAGGAAGACTGTTTCTACCAGGGATCCGTTATAGGACAAGATAGGAGCTTTGCTGCCGTCTCGCTATGTGAAGGATTGGTATGGGAATAATACCAATTGATATGTATTACAAAAATGTTCTAGTAGGTTCTTTTAATTATTTTCATAAAAATTACATAAAATAAAATTGGCTTCTAGTATTACAAATCTGATATTAAAATGTTCCCAGATATATGTTATTTCGAAGCTGTATTGAGTTATTTCTTTGTAGAATGGTTACGTTCAGACTGAAGACTATGACATTTCAATTGACCATCTGAAGTCCAAAGAAGACGGCAACACATATAGACATCATATAAAAATGTGTTCCATTCCAAAAGGTGATCTTTATCTTAATCAGGTGGTTTTTTTTTAACTTTTTTCCTTCTTTTTTGAAAACTTTTGTATTAATATATTCTCCTTGCAGACATCGGACGTATGCGACCAATCGAGAGATACCTGAAAAGGACAAAAAGACAAACAAACGGCGGCAGGAAATACCTCGAGGTCCTCATTGCCGCAGATACAAGTGTCACAGCACTAGTAGGGGTAGACAAACTGGAGACCTATCTACTAACTCTAATGAATATTGTAAGGAAAAACGAGACTTGTTTTAGGTAATGATGTTATTGGAGTAAAACAAAATAAAAATGCACTCACATCTTTGCTTTGCACATTGCTTTGCAGGTGAACAACATTTACAAACACAAGACTTTGAAAGTTGATATAGAAGTCATAACAGTTAAAACTCTGCAGCTGGACAAACAAACGGTAACTTATCACGATCCTATTCACGTAGCAAGATATTAATCCATACATCGTCTAGGGAATATTTAAAAAATGTAATTTGACTATTTATTGATGATGTTTTATTTATTTATTTTCATTTTTTGTCATATGACTAGGAGGGTGGTATAATTTCGAAGAATGACGCCAGAAAAACAGTGGATAACTTTTGTAGATGGACAACTAAACAGGCTTACAACAAAATGAGCGGCAATGGCGGGTATCACTTTGACGTGGCTATACTTCTCACCAGAACTGGCATAGGCCCTGCAGGTTAGAATTGATTGAAATCTGAATAGATACCAAATAAAGCAATAAAAGCACAAAGGAAAAGTCGTTCTACGGTTATTCGAGGAAATTTTCTACCAGAAACTGTAAAATGATGAGCTTCCATTGTATTTTAAATTAGCAAATTGATCAAAATTATTATGAAAAGGATAAATACATGGTTTTTCAATAGAGAGATAATTTTATGCAATATTGCAATATGTTAAAAGAAATAGATCATGCTTGTTTTATTGAGCAAAGACGAAAACTGAAAGCAATTTTTCACAAAAAGTAAGGACATAGTACGTTAGAGTTGTAATGATCCATTTGAAATGCACTAAATTCTTTCCAGTTACCAAGCGAATGTGGGTATATCACCCACGGCGAGGATACCGGCTTAGGAATATCTCAAGGGTGATAAAAGTTGAGAATTCAGTAGACTTTATTTGATGTTTTATTGCGTATTAGTGTGCAGCTGCTCGTGGTGTGATAGATTAATTCTGTAATTATTGACTTTGTATGCAAGATGCAAGGATTTATCATTTTGAAGAAGATGAAGAAACATTTAGACCGTAAAAAAAGATATCGGTAGATTGTTAATTTTACTCTCAAACTGATAAATCCTTCACCACAACCTCCCATGATGTAATTTAGTACTTTATTGACATGGACAATTTTTAAACGAATTGTTAGCTTTGCTTACCACCACTCGGTTCCTTTCAAGTTTAATTTTATTTACACAATTTTTTTTAATAAAAATTAAAAACAGAAGAATAGAATCTTTATCTTAAACATTCAATTATATATATTTAATGTGTTATTATTTTATTTAATTTAATTAAAGAAAAACGATTGAGTATTTTTTTTTTGAGATGTTATCTTTTAATATAGAAAGACCTTGACTTTCTGTTGTGGCTCTTGAGGTTGATTTTGATATTTGCTATTTATAGAACTTTGTTGTTGTTGACTTGTTGAAATTAATTTTTATTAGTATGTTAAATCCTTGCATGTCTCCAGAAGAACGAGCTAAAGTGTGACTATCATTAAATATGAGACTATCGCTGATTAATAGGAATACACCGCTTAATTATAATTAATGCTGTTACTTACAGGTTACGCCCCGATCACAGGGATGTGTAACCCAAGTCGAAGCTGTGCTGTGGTGAAGGACGAAGGTTTCACATCTGCCTTCATTATTGCTCACGAGGTGGCACATGTGTGAGTTCATTTCATAAATGTGAAAACATATTTCTTCATAAAAGTGCATGAAAAAGAAAATCTCTTTATCATTGAAATCAGAATTTTTTTTAAAGTAAATGCATTTAATCAAGGCCCTCTAAATATTTACACATTTTTATAGAAATAGAAAATGATTTAAATTTCTTAAACTTGTTCCAGGAATTCTTTGCATAAACCTTTTTCAAACACTGCTAGTTGTTTTTTTTTAAATTAACTGCAGGGAATCTTTCCACCTAATTTAATTATTTTTAAAACTTTTATTTAACTTTCTTAACTAAGATTTGGATTATTTCACAATGGTCACGGTAACACGTGCTCTGGTCGTCAGTATGAAACAAGTATCATGAACGCCATGGTGAGATCGAATCTACAGCATTACTGGTGGACAGACTGCAGTAACAAGAAAATGAAAGAAGTATTACCGTGTGTATATCTGTACTTTTTTTCAATTTAACAATGCATTTTTTAATAAACTGTTTTCTCTTATCGAACACGTGTAGTCTACCTGTACCTGTTTTTCTTGGAAGAGCTATATGATATATAATGTGCAAAGCACAACATAAGACCGGGTTAAAAGCCTGAGTTGTATGTTACTATATTTTTTTTTTTTTTATAAATTTTAGGTCATTGAGATGCTTAAATAACAGGCCATCTACATCAGAATTTGTAGAACCACCACTAGGAAAAAAGTTCTCACTCTCCGAGCAGTGTCGTAACGAGTTCGGGGCGGGTAATGTTCTTTGTCGACGGGTATGTTCTTTTTGTAGACATATTGAATTTTAATATCCTAACTGAACCATAAAAGAGAAGAACGATGTTATGTGACAATTCCTCCCTAGCAAAAAACTCTTACAATCATATCCCTATAAATACCACTAATTAAAAATATATTTATTCAAATGTTTTTTGTAATTCTTGATTGAAAATATTAATTCCCATTTCTTTAAGTCTAAATCAGCATTAAAACGGTTTGTTGTTTAGTTTTATGGAGATATTTGCGCTATGCTGTGGTGTTCTGGTCCTAGCGACCGTGGAAATGGAATGTGTAAGACCAAACGATCACCTCCTCTGGAGGGTACGCCATGTGGCCCTGAAAAGGTAGGACTTTATCTACAAGCGTATCATTTCTAACATTATCAATAACATATAATACCACATAAATGGTAAATTTATGATCTTTGCCTTCAACCAAATCTTAAGCACTTCTTTCAATATTTCTTCTGTAACTCTTGTCTCCAATTTCGTACATATATACAATACTGCACTCAATGCCTATATGTTAAAGAAAGCTTAATATTCTTCTACAGCATTGTGAAAACCATCGTTGTGTATATTTCGGTTACCACACACCTGTTAACGGAGGTTGGAGCTCCTGGGGAACATGGACCTCGTGTTCGTCTGCTTGTGGTGTCGGTTTACGTCAGAGAACACGTGACTGCACTAATCCAGAGTAAACCAACTAGAATAATATTTCTTAGCATTTCACTTTAAAGTTATGATTATCAATTTTATTAGATGAAAATACATGTCGATATTTAAAATGAATGCACATATCATGTATTTAATTACAGACCAAAGTATGACGGAAAAGAATGTACCGGACCAAGCGAAGAGATGGATACTTGTAAATCTACAGTGAGTATTAATATTTCAAGTCACTTTCTGGAGACTACGACCCTCCAAGACAACCTGTCAGAAAAAAATATCTGTATTTCAGGAATGTACCTCCTTTACAGATGTCCGTAAGGTTCAGTGTTCTATGTTAGACTCGATGGAAGTAAGGCCTGGGCAACACAACTGGAAGCCATATCAAGTCAAAGATTGTAAGATCATTTTATTGTCAGTTTCAGTATGATCATGCTGTACATAGTCTTCAATTTGACATTCAGATATATAGACGACGTACGTTTTATAAGCAATAGTTATTTTCTTTCTTATATCCTAAGCATCTTTCTCTACTCCTCACTAAGATATAGACAGTAGTGAAGGAAACACTTCAAAAGTACTGTGCAACAACATATTCAAGAAGTGGTGTGAATCAGATGCGCATACTCCAAAGACCTCTTTGACAATTTGAAATCACAAGATTTTACCAAAATTAACAGCTCAAAAACTTTTCAACTTTATACACAACCATTCCCCACGATAAATTAAAGCCCAGGCTTTTGGATATTATTGACAGCTGCTTTTTCAATAAAAATGGAACTCGTAAATTTACTTACCTGGTCATTGGTCATTTGAAAAATTATTTTGTTAAAAACATTCTGATTGCAAAGACAAATACTCTGAAGTTGACATCAAAAAGATGCTTGAGTTTCTGACTGACAATTTGTATGTGGTTTTTGGAGACCAGGTCTTCCAACAATCTATTGGAATCCCCATCGGTACCAGTTGTGCTCCGTTATTAGAGATCTATTTTTGTATTCATATGAAGCAGAATTTGTGCAGGGTCTTATGCGTGAAAAGAAGAAAACACTTGCTGTGGCCTTCAACTCAACATTGATATATCCTGGTGAGCGTGAAATAAAAGATACCACAGTGTCTGACACATCTGTTTCATACTTGGATATTTTACTTGAAAAAGACGTTAATGGTAATCTAACAACCAAGCTCTGTGATAAACGTGATGACTTTAACTCTTCTATCGTCAACTTCCCTTACTAATGCAGCAATATACCTTCATCATCTGCATACGGTGTTTATTTATCTCAGTTGATTCGATACGCAAGAGCATGCTCTATACGTTTGAACAATTTCTAAAACGAGGTAAATTATTGACAAACAAGTTTCTCAAGCAAGAATATCAGCAGTCTCGTTTAAGGTCATCATTTTGTAAGATCTTTGGTCGATACAATGACCTTCTAATACAGTTTATCATTGAGTCAAATACTTACTGACGTTTTTCACAGTTATTGTAAGTCCATTATTTATACCTGAGTCGACGACGGATTTTTTTCTGTTATTTCCGATGATGACAAGGAACACACGGCGGATGTGACCGGTCAGCAGGGGATGCTCACTCCTCCATGGCACCTGATCCCACCTTCAATGTTCTGGAGGTCGGTGTTTGCTCTGCTCCTATTTTGTATTGTTTTGTGGACTTTGTAATTGAATACCGTTCGTTATCTCCATATCCTTCATCCCACTGAACTTGAAATAAAAGACACCACAGAGTCATCCTAATTTGCTCCATAATTGGGCCGATGTTTTTCTGACTGTAAATGAAAAAAAACCAATTTACAACTAAAATGTTTGACCAACGAAATCATTTCCCTTTTTCCATCATTATCTTTCCTTATACCGTATACGTGGTAATATTCCATTTTCACCTATATACAGTGTTAGGGGTACCATATCTAACTTTGTCGCTTCTATAGAGAATGCTTTGAGTTCAATCGATTTGTAAACCAAGGCCTCAAAATATAGATAAGTTGATGTTACATGACGTCCGACAATCTTGTAGAAGGTCTACATTATGTCAATTTTTATGGCCTTTATATTAACCTTAAGCAAATACAACCCATTTCTGAGTCGTATTTCGACCCAAAATTGTTCTTGCTAATTGATGGTATTTGTTTGTTTGTTTGTTTGTTTTTTTAACTATATTTCACTTCGGAAAATTCTGTCATACCTGATCAATACATAGAGTTTAGCAGGTTTGACGGGTTGACATGGGATGCTTACTCCTTGACACCTGATCCAACTGGAATTTCAAGGGATCCGTGCTTTATGTCATTTCAAAAGATTTGTACTGATTTATTTTTCGATCGATTACCATTCATTATCTTTTTCTATTGCAATTTCTAAGCATCTTTCATGTGATTTAAAAAAATCCCCAAAACAACCCATGACAAAATAATTTTGAACAGAAAATGATTCAACACCCTTTGCTTTTCTTTGTAGCTGGAAAATTGTGCGTCCTGTCATGTGTCTCGAGTCTTAACGGAGAAATTGCCACTTTTGACAACATCCCTGTGGATAATGGTGTTCCCTGTTCTTATGACGACCGAAGTAACATATGTGTGGACGGAAAATGCATTGTAAATAGTATTTTCTTGCATCTTTGTTTATTTTCCATTATTATAAGAATAAAACCTACAACTTCGTCTTTTAACCAAGGATGTAGGTTGTGACGGTAAGATGAATTCCACAGCCCGCGAAGACAAGTGTGGTGTATGTGAAGGGGATGGCTCTCAGTGTAAAACAGTCAAGGGAAGATTCCACAAAAAATTCGTCTCAGGTAGGAAGGGAAAGTTGTCGATCTTGTACAGTGTAAGATGAAAGGAATTTTCTTGTTGAAGAAAGTGCATGTCAGTACAATGTACTTGTAAGTTTCAATGTTGTGCATTCCAGGCCAGACAGGCTACGTGGATTTACTCTTGCTACCAAAAGGGGCGAGGAACATCGAAATCAAAGAATTATCTACAGCATCACATTTTCTCGGTATGAATATGATTGCTATAAATGTATTCTTATTTCAGAAAATAAAAAAAAATATAACACTTGATTGATTTTTTTCTCTCTCTGAATAAGCTCTTCAGAACCACAGATATGGCACGTTTATCTTAAATGGTGAGCGGTCACGTGGTCCATCACATGACTTTGCAGCAGCTGGTGCTTGGTTTTTGTACAAGAACAGTTATCCAGAAAATCTGCAGTCTAAAGGTCCAATTCAGAACAAACTTAAAGTCTTGGTGAGAACCTCTTTTTACAGCTAATGTTGCAAACTACCGAATTTCCGTGGACAAAGATTTTTTTTGCGATGTAAACGATTCTTTTGTACATTTCTACAGGTATATCCAGGTAATAGAAATACTTACGCATCTTACGAATACCAATACACAATTTCAAAAGACGATAATACTCACGAAAAAATGATGTATTACTACAAGTATGAAGGGTGGACAGATTGTTCTGTAACTTGTGGAACAGGTAATGATTATAAATCATAGTATATTGATATTAATCCTGAAGGGGGTTTGAAAATAAAGTAATGTATATTAAAAGTTTCTCTTTTTCAGGCGAGCAGAGATTAATTTATGGCTGCTACAGTAAAGAAAACGACACAAAGGTGGACAGAGAAAAGTGTCGTCACTTGAAGGACCCAGCTGGAAAACCTCATAAATGTGAAAGAAGGGCGTGTAGAGCTCATCAGTGAGTAAAATATTTTATGTGATACTCAGGTCACTAAATTAAAAAAAAACTAATAAATACTAATAAATATTAATATATGCATATTTAGAATTTTACTTGAAATACATTTGCCACAAGTAACTAAAACAATGACTTTAGAACACATTAAATGTTTTCACATGATTTAACATGAAAATACATGTATACTTTTATGAAACATATCATATATCAAGTCAATATTTGGTAGAATCTACACTTTAATCTGTTGAACGTTTGTTGTAGGTTAAGGTGGGCAATGCTGAATGATTGGACGGACTGTAATGAAACATGCGGCGTTAATGGTATACAACATCAATTATACAAGTGTGAAAAGGAGACAAACGGAAAGATAGAGTATGTAGAGTTGTCCTTTTGTGACGAGGTTCTCCCTCCTCCAACATACTCCCGGGCCTGTAACAGAGTCAGGTGCCCGGAATATGTCTGGACTGACACGGGGAAGTGGTCTGCGTGCTCCAGTACCTGTGGTAGCAGTGGTGAAAGGGTGAAAATATATCACTGTGCAGATGATTCGAAGAAGAAAGTAAACAACAATCTGTGTAAAGATCCCAAACCAAAGAAAACCACAGTGTGCAACAGACATCCATGTATAAAAGAGTCGTACAAACTTTCCCCCACTGAAAACTGGGGACATTGTTCAGCCACGTGTGGTGAAAACAGGTATCAAACTAAGTTGAAGGAGTGCATTCGGATAAATTCTAGAAATGAAACTGTCAAGGTGAGTATGTCAAAATGTTCTGATCTTCAAGAGGAGGATGAGATTCGACCATGTACTTATGTACCGTGCTATCAGGCCACCTATGATTGGCTGTTAGTCAAAGACTGGTCTACCTGTTCACAGGAATGTGGAGACGAGGGAATTCAACATCAGCTGTACAGATGTTTCGATGTGACGTATGAATATGCTATGAAGAATGTGGAAGATGATTTTTGTAATGAGTCTGGTAGTGCAAATGTAACTAGACCATGTAACAGGTTTGATTGTTTCAGTTTTAAATGGCTGTCCCAATCCTGGAGTGACTGTAGTTCTACCTGCGGGAACGATGGGATTCGGAGACAAACGTTTTCTTGTTCAAAAGTGTATTTCAACAAAACACTGGAAGACGTAGATTCTTCATATTGCAGTAATATGTCATATCCTGTTATAACAGAAAACTGTAACAGAGTTCCTTGTGAATCTAAAGTGTATAGCTGGGTCATGGTGCCAAACTGGGCCGCGTGTTCCGTAAGTTGTGGTGAGGGTACCCAGTCCGCACTATACAAGTGCTTTGAAGTTTACAAGAACGATACAATGATGCCGGCGAGTGCAGATCATCTCTGCAGTCATATTGAAAAACCTCATTATGAAAGACCTTGTTCTTCAGGTCCTTGTGAACATTATCAGTGGAGCAAGGCGTTTGATTGGACTGCTTGCTCTACCTCTTGTGGTGAAGATGGTATTCAACGGAAAATACATGTGTGTGAAAAGGTTTCAGCTGATGGCTCAGTCATTCCAACTTCGTCTTCTTTTTGCAAAAACTTACCAGATATATCTGAAATGCGTTCTTGTAATAGAATACCCTGCGTTTCTTGGAGATATAGAATTACTCAATCTCCCTATCTATCCGAGTGTTCAGAGACCTGTGGAAGCAAGGGTATCCAGTTCTACCAATATTCATGCGAAAAAGAATTTTCAAATAACGGTACAACTGTGGTTGATGATATGGAGCACTGTAGAGATATTTTATTTCCTAATCGTACATATCCGTGCAACAGGACACCTTGCCCCCGAGAATGGGTGACCGACAACTGGGGTCGGGTATGTACATGAACATTACATTTATTATTCAGCATTAATTCTGGTATACTGGTTGTGCTGTCTTCTTTAAAATCAATTCCCCAATAGCAATGAAAAATATTTGAAATTACCAAATTAATTTATGTCCTCTTAAAAAAGTATCTAGATGTCTGTCTTACATTAATATGACAATGTTTGGTATTGATCAGTTCATCGCAATAAGTTGAAATGTTGGTTACATTTCAAATGAAATAATTGCAAATAAGTAAATCACTGTGATTTACGTATAGAACTGTAGATCAGTATGTCAAAGGTTTAGGATTATATTTCCCAATCATAACCTAAATGTTTTATTTAAAGAAAATTTTTCAGAACAAGTTTGGTGCAAAATATGGAACACATTTTATTGCAAATTGTTTCAAGGAAAACAAACAAACGGAACATTATCAGATCAGGTTAACATGTGTTAAACAAACAGTAAACAAAGAAGACATCACTCAGAAATTAATTTTCTCAATGCTTCTAAAGATAAATCGCTATTCCAGGGCAAACATCACGTCCATTAAAACTAGACAATGACTGAATTTTTACAAACATTGTTAACAGTTGCACTAATTAATTAAGCAATTAAATATGTTTACTTTTTGTAAGAAAATAAAGATAACTTACCGTCATTGACGTACACCCTAACAGAAAACATGCAGTAAGGAGTAGATGGCGTTTGTAGAATAATTTTCCAATATTATTTCCCCTTGCTTTCAAAACTCTGCTTATAGTTAATATTACGTAAATTTTAAAGAGAATTCTTTATCTTACAAAAAGTTAACAAACATAAGTTTTGTTAATTAAAAAATAACTTTTTTTTAAATAAAAAAAGAAAAAAACATAAATGAAATGTTAAAAAGAGAATTTTTGAATTATTTTCTTTCTGGAAATAGAAGTCGATGAATTGATTCTTGTTATGATAACACTGCAATTATTTATTTAAATTAAAGAAACAAACAAACTAATATACAAATTGAACCCTCAAATACTTGTTAGTTTTTGAAGAATTGTTGATATTAAAACTGACACACTGCATCCGTCGAAAAAATGGAGCACCGACAGGAATGGCAAACTGTGAGCAGGTTAAATAAATCGTGAACATTAACTTTCTATAACTTTCTTTTAATGTAAAATACCTAGATGCCATGAAGATAACGAGCAGTAATCATGCCCAAAATCTCATTGAAACAATCCAATTCAGGAGCAGAGCACACATAGACTTCTTAAAACATCAAAGATGTGATCAGGTGCCATTTAGGAACAAAAATCCCTTGTCGACCGATAAAACCCACCTTATCATTATTGGGCAAACGGATTTTTTTTTCATTGTGTAAATGATGGCCTAACAATAAGTATGTAAAACACAAGCTTTAGTCAGCGTTTCATTTAATGGTTGATAGTTTTTGTGGAAGTTCTTTGTATCAACCATAGAAATGATGACTTTAAACTGTTGGTATGCTTGTTGGACCAACTTCATGTCAATAGCGTGTCTCGTTAAATTGTTCCTACGTTCAGGATGCTATTGCGTATTGAATCATTTTGGAGACATGACATAAACCGATATGCAAGTTAGGGATATATTGCTGCATATAAATAAATTAACAATAGGTTTGAATTGCAATTGGCAAGAAATAACAGAAGATTTAGCTGTATTGAAAAGAAATTGACAGGGAAGTTGAAGTATTTCTTTAATTTGAAACTGATGTGTTCGTTTATTTACAGTGTTCCGTCTCCTGTGGGGTCGGGGTCCAGAGAAGATACATATTTTGTGGGTCGATCGAGGAGAACCTCAACCCCTCAGAGTGTCCAGGTACCCGCCCGGTCACCACCAAAGTCTGCAGTCAGCCGGAGTGTCGCAGTGGTACGTACGTCATGTAATGGATAAACCAATAGAAAAATAATGCGTACGTCATGTAATGGATAAACCAGTAAAAAAAGAATGTAGTGTGTGCGTCATGAAATGGGTGGACCGATAAAAAAGTGTGTACGTCATGAAATGGATGGAACTATAAAAAGTTTATTTTAGTAAATCAAGCTCTAAGGTCCATTATAAAATATAAAGTGTTAAATGTATTCTAAGAGGATTTTTTAAAAACACTCACTTATTTGAATTACTGAATTATATGGCCTCTTAAAATTATTTCATAAAATGAATTTGACATTTAAAATCAGCAGGATTGTGAAAACAAAATAAACCATTCTGTTTGAATTAAATTAATAATCAATATTTTTTATTAGAAAGTATGTTTTATAAATGTGTTCACTTTTTCCCTATCTATAAATTGCCAAAACCAGGGAAAAGTGGTAAAATGTCATTAGTCATCTCTAACGTGAAGTAATAAGCCAGAGCTCAAAATTGAGAAATCTGAGAAAGTGATGTATGAGCCACCTTAAATCATTTTAATTCATGTTTAAAATAAAATTATATTAAAAATGTAGATCCGTTTTAAAATCCTAAAACCTTATGTCTCTTAGTTCTCAATTTCACAAAAATGATTTTTTTCAATCTTGATTTTTATCAACAACAAAGCATTAGATTTTACTGAACAAGTTTTTTAATTGTAGAAAATTTGATAATTACTTTTTCCAAAATAAATTTTATGTCTTACCATATTTTGAAGAAATTTTGACATAAATACAAAGAGCTCCAATTTATCACTACAGAATATAAGAAAAAAATGAGGTACATATATATCAGTAATAAAAAGTGTTGTGTATATGTATATTAAATTCGTATCAGAAAGCATAATGAAGCGAAGCTTTTTATGTCAGAATATCATATTGTTTAATAATGTTTTTCTAAAATATGACCATCAGATATCGTTGAATGATAACTATAAGTCTCTACTTTCTTCACTACTTACTTCAATAACATTAAATTTCAAGTTCTTATAAGGATTCATAAATATTTAAATTTGCAACAAGAATACAAAATGGCTGCAAATTGTCAAAAAAAAACAAACAAATAAACAAACAAACAAACAAAACAAAAAAAAAACAAAAAAAAAACCACTGCTATAGATTATTATTAAATATCAAAAAGCCAATACTGGCAAAAATCATATTTTCTGCTACAAGTGTAATTACTATAAATCAAGTAAAAGGCTGTGAGAAATATTTTTGGAATAATTTGCTTTGGAAGTTATCTCTCTTATCAGAGTGACACAAGACCTTAATTTTTCACTAGACCTTAATCTTTTTAATTGCATTTATAAAGCGAGATTTACATGTCTAAGTGTATATAAATAATATATGTGTGTAGATAATATTTAAAAACATAGGTCCTTGACCATAAAAAAGATATATATATATATATATATATATATATATATATATATATATATATATATATATATATATATATATATATATATATATATAATTAATATTATTTGATTAATATATTTGTAGAGGTTTGCGTGGACAGGATCTCGCTCTGCAGTCGAGGCGCCACACGCAGTACTTGTAGATACAGAGGGTACAAATTCATGTGCTGCGCTTCCTGTAAGAGATTCCGAAATTAAACTGCGCTGGGCGGTCTCATAAAGTATATGCCATCTCTCCCAGTTGTGTCCCGTATTGGACTGGACTTGACGGAAGGATACAACAAAGTGTGCAAATCACTGTCAATCCCTTCAACTTCAACGTTTTAAGTAATGAAGAGAACAACGGCAGTTTGTTGGTTTTATTATTTTCAAATCACGTGCATCAATTTTTATAACAAATATTTTACACTTTAATAGTGCTGATATGAAATAAGTATAAAAATCCAAATTGGATACCTGTACATATATATACTTAAATACTACATGTAGATAAAATGGTAACGAAGTAAAGTTTAACATTTTTGAACAAATGCTCTACATGACAGAGAAAATAATTTATGATTGAATTTTACGAATTGTAAACTTTTATTCCTTTGAATTGTCATAAAATTCCCTTTGCAATAAGGAAATTAAGAAGTTTTAGACAGAATTTAAAAAAAAACATGAAATGTTTAAAGCATGCAGGTAAGAATGAAGCTCATTTGAAACTTTTAAACAAGTTTTTAATCTATTCTAAAGGAAGTCAACTGAGTGTAAAATTCGGATTGCTTTATAACGTCTGCTTTAAATGTTTACAATCGGTAACAATTGAAATTGAAGGTAATGTTTTTTCGGACATTGTTATATTCATTTAAGTGTAATTATAGAGAACTTTGCCTCAGAGGTTTCGCTGAAACGCATTAGACTCACTGAAAGACTGACACTTAAATCATGCATATTTAAGGATTTTGTTTTAGATTTTGGACTAATGTAGATCATGCATACGATATATTTAAATCTAAAACTGGTCATTTTGTTTTGTCATTGTGTTAATACATGTATATTTGATTTATTGCATGATAAAATAAAGGTGTAAAGGCTTATGATTGTCTTATGTAAAATAGAGTAAAATATAGACTTTTCTACAAACTACACTATGTGAATATAAATTTACATCATTATGTAAAAGAGCATTAAAAAACTTCTACTTCTCTAAATAACGTTTTTTGAGTTAATCCTCGAAATAAGAGTATTTCCCTCTTCTATACCTGTGTCGAATATAGTTAACCCCGGGCAGTTTTGTCTGTTTTGGGTCCTGTGCTTTGTAAAGCCATACATAGGAAGAAGTAAAACACAGGAACACACAAATCCAGGCCAAATAAAAGGACCAACCAAAGCTGTACGTTCGTGATTCGTTGATTATTTTCTTGTGGGGGATGCGATATCCATGTAATAGTTCTGTTCGTCGTAAAATATAACATTTTCCATGGAAAAGTGCTATCGCGAGAGTAAGTAACATACCTGTAAAAGAGTGATAAAAAAGTATAATGAATGTTTTTAGGGAAAAAATGTTTTATTTGTCAAGAATACTTGAAGTATATTAAAACAGTAGTTGCTGGTCTAAAAAATACCCAATTTTAGTACTGACACTTAATACACAAAATATACATATAATATGTATATATTTATTGCTTTCACAGTTTTATTTCGGAATTTACTCTCTGTGACCTTGTGACTTTGGATTCAATTTGTATTGTGTATCAGCCAGTTGATGCATTATTTATTTTAATTTGTGCCTTACGACAAACTTATTTCTCAATGAATTTGACGGATGTGATTAATCATTCAGAAATTATTTCTTTGAACGATTATTGGCCAAATGCAAAATTGATTCTTAATTAGGTTGTCCGGGGATATTTAAGCATCCTTAGAGGATAGCATGGCCGAACAAATGTGAATAATGCATGATCAAAAGTTAATACATGGGTAAAGGGCTTCCCGGGGGAAATGAGTAAGATTAAAACGTTTTCGTACCAGATATTAACGAGCAACATGATGCCCAAACAAGAACTCTTGTATGGTGACCAAACAGCCCATAAGCACCCGTGATCAGGCCGGCTACCATAGACACCATGCATAACAGAGCAAATGCGCAGGCCGCACGCTCCAAATCTGAAAAAAAAGTCAAAAATTCACCTTGTGGAAAAGAAATTGTCCAATAATCGATAGCCAACCAGAATATATTCAATAAGATTTTTATATTATGTACTTTTCTATTAACAGAATGAAAGAATTCTGTTAATCTTTGTAGGAATCATTTCCAATATTTAATGAACAAATGATTTTTATGCCTTTAAAAGGGAAATACAAGCAATGCATGGCAAAATATGGAACGCCATCACTGCCTTATAGCATACAACTATGCATTTATTATGTCAATTAATCATTACGTGATGTGAACATATCTTTACGCTATGTCAATTTTTTATGAGATGATGTAAATATATCTTAACATCATGTCCGTGCTGCACTACATGAAGTAAAAACATCCTTCCATTATGTCAGCACTTCATAACTTGAAGTAAAAAAATCATTTTGTGAAGTGATAATGTGTTTACACTGTGTTAAAACTTTTTTACGTGAAATGAATATTTCTTTACATTATTTCATTTCTTTCATATGTGAGGTCAAAATTGTATTACGTCAAGTAAATTGTGTTTTATAATTAAACTTGTCATTACATGAAGTCAAAAGCCCATTCCTTTTTGAGAGTGTATATTTCTATTATATCAAAGCATTATTACGTGATATGGATTTATATTTACATTTCTAATGTCTTTGTCCGAGATAAAATTACCAATTGTAAATGTAATTTATTTCCACATGAATGTCTTGGCGCGGTTCCAAAAAAAAAAAACCACGTGCAGGGCGGGACAACACCTAGAGAGAAGCAGGCTTGGAGCCCGTGGATTGGCGGAATCAAAGCATGTAAATATAAGGAATAACTGTCTTATTTTTCGAATTCATGAAGATGATCAATGGATTGGCTTGTGTGATAATTTTATGCATAAACGCCTTCGGCGTTTATGCAAATTATCACACAAGCCAATCCATTGATCACTTCATGAATTCGAAAAATAAGACAGTTATTCCTTAAATCTTTATTTTACGGCGAGGGCATCATGACGTGAGGTGAACCCATCTTACCTTTATGTCATTGCTTTATTACGTGGTGTAAAAAGTGTATAACATAATATGATCATATCTTAATATTATATTAACACTTTATTACATTATGTCAAAACTCCATTCCGTAATGTGGATATATAAATACGTTATGTCAACTCTTTCTTATGTGATTTAAAAATATCTTTATATTGTGTTAACTCTATATCATGTTGTTTCCAAAAGTTCATTACCTGATGTTGAAATACATTTACATTATCTTAAATCTGTATATCTAGTATATAATGAATGTTGACGACCGTGTTTTAATGACTGGAAAGAAGGGGGGGGGGTTCTGATTGATTAGGACATCAACCCCCTCTTTTCCCAGATATAACTTCACTATTGAAAATGTAATGTTCAGTGAAAGAACAGCCCCCATCCCACTTTTTGTTTGAAGTATAGTCTACTAAGGGTAATGTTGTATATCTGGAAAAAAATAGGACTGATCGAAGTTGGACCCGCTTCCCCGAAATAGGATTTTCGGGCTTGGATAATTTTTTTTCTTGGCTTGTCAAGTTTTTTCGGGTAAATAATTTTTTTTCTGGCTGACCTCCTCTTTCAAAAAGAGATGCTACGTCACTGGAATTAGTAATTTTTTTAACCATTTCAGGGCAAGAATTCTATTACAAAAATCTACCAGTCGCTCATCTTAATCAATATTAATGTGCCTTAGTAAGCATGCATGGGCACATATCAGTGGCGGATATGGGAATCTTGAACAAGGAAGGGGGACGGTATATGGTTGGAGACCAAGGGCGGAAAGCGGAGAAGCTCTCAGGCTTTATAGTTTTATAGAAAAAAGTTTTCAACTTAATTCAGCTAAACTTAATGTGAAAGTAATGCAATGTCCTACAAATTTCAAGACTTTTATAAAAAAAAAAAAACAATTCAAAATAAAAAGAAAAAAAATTCCTGCACGACTCATATTTGATTTATTTAATTATCAGATTAAAGTAAACACCATTGAATTTCGACGTGACTTTAATTCACAGTCGCAGTGTCAATCATTTGTCGCTTAAAGTTTTCATTTAAAGATGTCATTTCCAAATCGCTAAGAATCTCTTTTACGAGTTTTCTCTCCCGCCATTTTTAGTGCTTGCGGAACGGGGAAAATACGTTATGCTCATATAAAGTCCGAGGATACCCGTGTTCGCATAACGTAATAGTGAATCGACCTAATGTATAGAAGAGTGCGCACAGTATGATAAGAGCTTTTCACTTCAGTTAATAAAAACTTAGATGTCATGAAAAGTAAACATAACGAAATACAAGTTGACGAAATGTAATTGTAGTATGTGTAAATGTCATAAAGAGTTGACATAATGTAAAGGAAAGTTCACAGGATGCAATAGTAGTGTGGTCTAATGTCATAAAGAATAGACATAATATAATGGAAGGTTGACACGATGCAATAGTATTTTAGGTTAATGTCATAAAGAGTTGACATAATGTAATGGAATGTTGACACAATGCAATAGCAGTGCGAGTAAATGTCATATGGAGTTGACATAATGTAATGTAAGGTTGACGCAATGCAGTTGTTGTGTTCTGCTATAAGGCAGTGACGGCGTTCCATAGCAAAATTTTATTTAAGTCTCATCATCTTTTTAGGCCATTTAATTCCAAATATCAAAGAGACAAACCTAATTAGTTTTAACATATGCTATGTATCAAAATATTTTTTTTTCTTCTTGTCAATGATTTCTTTTATATCTGTAATAGTTCATAGAGCATGTAAACTTCGCCCAAATTCAACAGTTGAATATCTTATCTACTTAATTACAGTCCTTTGATCTGAAGCCGCATTATTAATTCTGGAATTAAACTCTCCGACCCTAAAATTATAATTAACTATAATATAATTGCATGATTCTTAGCACTCTCTGATTAACTGAATCTAACATCGTAGGAATCATAACAACTTATACTCACCAGCCCTTGACCTTTAAGATGATTATAGCATTTGATTTTTTAAAGTGACCAAAATAAAGTTATTTCCGAATATATTTACTTTATCAGTAAATAAAATTCCGTGTTTCTTCAGCAGACACAATCAACCAAAAATATAAGTGTTTGTTCATTTATCATTGCTTCATACAATAAAATAAATATTGCTGTTTTGGTGTCGTTGCTATGATTTACAAACCATCGAAATTCAATATCCATCATGCCCCTAGGACTAAGTGAGTATCGTACTAATAGATAAATCATTTTGTTTTATATTTAAAAAAAATTGTCATACTAAAATGTTTAACATCAAAAAGTCCCAATCAGTGTAAACAATTCCCAATTTTTTTTTACTGAGCGGTGCCAAAATTTCGACGTTTAATTGCTGATTGCGAAATTTGAACTGTCGATGATATATCGGCGGATGTTACGTCACACTGTTGGCAGGACCAGCTACAGCTTAATTTTATGTTTTATTCTTTTGTTGTTGATATTTACGGAAAAAATCATTCTTAAATCCCCAGCATGGTATAATCTGTCACACTTCACACACGACGGATGTGATCGGTCGGCAGGGGATACTTACTCCTCCATGGCACCTGTTCCCACCTTTTCTGTTTTGGAGGTCCGTGTTTCCTCTGCTCCTACTTTGTTTTGTTTGATGGACTTCTGATCTTTAATACTGTTCGTTATCTTTATCTCTATATATTTCATTTAAACACTGACCCAAAATCAATCCCCTGGGCTTCGGCTGTGGGGGCTCATTATGGAGTCTCGGTTTGATATGGGGTGTAATACAGACCTTGTCATTTATCATTATTTATCACTTGAAATATCATTTATGTTTTTTGGGGGAAGAAAATATGAAAATTTTGCCAGGAATGCATCCATTTTAGAGAAAAATAAAATTCAAAATCTTGTGAAAGTCAGTCAAGGTTAAGACTAAAACAATTATAACCATAACATAATTTTGAAGAAAGAAGGTCAATGAGTTCTTTCAATTTTTTTCTCCAGAAAGTCCTAAAAAGATATATCTATTAATATTTTCATTTTTCAAATATAGTTCTGTTAATAAAAGTTTTGAAAGTTTGTTAACTTTGTTTATTATTGTGCATTTGTTTATTCTTTTTCCACTATCATTGTTCCTAATTTTTAGCAGAATGTACCGGTAAAGTAAGCAAGTATGTAAGTTTTATTTCAAGTCAGCATTTTTTACCGGTACACCGTACATGTAATACGAAGACAACGAACAGTAAACAAAGTAAGAAGTCAAGTGAAATAGTACAAATTCGGAACAGAGCACACAAAGACCTCAAAAGGCATCAGACGTGGGATCAGGTGCCATTAAGTGCAAGCAACACTGTCGTTCTGTCACATCCATTGTGCTTCCTTGTCTTTGGTGGGTGGAGGGAAAAATCCGTAGACAATTTAATTTAAAAATAAACGTCTTACACTATTTAATTAAAAATGACCTATTGGAACGAAAACAACTTAAAATCATTAACGATATATTAAGTCTATTTGCTATCAAGGGCATTATTAACAACAATGATTAATTCTCTATATTGACGCTTAATGATATTGATTATAAAATTGTTATATCAATTTCTTCTCAGTAACTTCACTCTTTCAGAAAATTTTCATACGTATAGCATGCTCTCGGCTATCGAACTCATTTATGGTGATATTTGTTCATTGCTGCATAAATTACGTAACTTACGAGGAAAAACTAAATGCGTTTAAAAAAATAGATTTCAGTATGCCATTATGTTTCAAAAATAAATATTTTCAAAAAAAGTAAAAAAAAAAAAATTCAGATACATACATGTAAAATATGTTCATGCATGCCAACAGATTTTTTTTTTCAAAAAAAAAAAAAATGCCAGCCAGTATTTTTGAATTCATTCCTTTATGATTTTTTAGTTTCTTGGAAATATATATTACAATAAATTTTTATATATCAGTCCAAAAGAGATACGAACCATATGTACATGTATCAAGTTAAAGCGTACTCTAATTCAGGCATCCATGTCGATGTGCATGCAAATATGACTATCGAGTTTCAATGAAAGTGTATTTAATCTACTTAAATTTTTGTGATGCAATTTTAAATTTTTGTGATGCAATTGTAAACACGCACATATATTATTCTTATTCATAAATATAAATACGTTGTATATTTTACCAAAAATGTGTTGATCTATAAAAATATAACTTAATATATTAACAAATTCTTCAATATAACTTACGTTTTACAACAATGAGTTCTGTGACGTCACTAGCCGCCTCGATCTCCCTCCCACTGAGGTACTCGCACCTATCTACCCTCTTCTGTACCAAGTACAGCCGCTGTCTGACACCCTCTACCAAAAAAAATAAAAGAAACCATGTTAAAGAAAAAAAGACTGTAAATATTTTGCTTTGATCAGACTCAAAATACTCTAAAGTAAAGGAGCATGGGTTTGAATCTCGCTGCAGATTGATCCTTGGATGAGACCATACGGTATACACAGAGGTCCCGTGTGGAAGTAGGTGATGGCACGAGAAACATCTTTAATTAATGTTTATAGACCCAAAAGGTCTAAATTGTCAACCCTACATCGGTAAAAAAGACTGTAAATATTTTGCTTTGATCAGACTCAAAATACTCTAAAGTAAAGGAGCATTGGTTTGAATCTCGCTGCAGATTGATCCTTGGATGAGACCATACGGTATACACAGAGGTCCCGTGTGGATGTAGGTGATGGCACAAGAAACATCTTTAACTAATGTTTATAGATCCAAAGGTCTAAATTGTCAACCCTTCATCGGTAAGTGGTGGTAACTCACATATAAATGAAATATTCTTGAAGGAACATTTAACATATAAAAAATCTTCAGACTATATGTACCATAAATAATAGAATTTTATGATTAAAAGGAATCATACAAAAAAAAGAACCAAAAACAAGTAAAAACAATTTCAGAAAACAGATACTTTTAAGTCTTGTAATTTGGTTTATGAAGTTCCATCGTGCGAAAGAATCACATTAAACTGTAAACAAATGAAAAATGTCACACTGTATTTGCAACGTCTTTCTTCAAAGTAAATAGGAGCTACAGTTAAGATCAAATTATTGCTGAGAGAATGTATCCAGACAATACCAGAAGGAGAATGAAATATTAGTCTTTGCTTGATGGAATTTTTTTTCATCAACACACAGAAAAAAGTACATCACGAAAACAAGCAAATATGAAGACGACAAACTGCAATCAAGCTCAAATCTCAATTGAAACAATACAGTTTGGTTGCAGAGCAGACACAGGCTGCGAAAAACATCAGACGAGGGATAAGGATCCTTGAAGGAGTAAGCATCCCATTTCGACCCGTCACACCCCGTGTTTGTTCCTTGTCAAGATCGGGCAAACGGGAATTCTAGGAAATCATTAGTGTGACAACAAATATTGGCCTTACAATTTGTATAAAAATCGTCAATTAAAAGTCGACTAAACGATTGATTGTGTTTACAAATAACTAACAATGTCATTCTACAGTATATCAGTCATGCAATTTGCAAAATGGAGCAGAGCAAACACGGATATGTAAAAACATCGGAAGCGGAATCGGGTGCAATGAAGAAGTCAGCATCCCTTGTTGACCGGTCTAATCCACCGTGTGCTCCTTGTCATTATTGGGGAAACAAGATAATCCATAGATACAATTCAGTGTGTTAATAATACCTAACAACTACTTTGTAAAACGTCAGTCAGTATTTGACTTACTGACAAGTTGTATTTGGTAAGATGGTCATTGTATCGACCATAGATCTTACAAAATGATGACTTAAACAAAACTGTTGATATTCTTGTTTTATTAATTTACTCAACTTGTTTATCAGAGTCTTGCTTCTTAAAGAAGAGCATGCTCTTGCATACCGAATCATCTAAGAGATGTAAAATTGTTACTGGTTTGTATCAAAAGCAAGAGAAGTTGACGATACAAAATAAGAGTCATCACGTTTACCATAAAGCTTTGTTGTTAGGTTGACATTTTTTTCTTTTTATAGTAAAAAATCTCAAATGTTATGAAACAAGTGTATTAGACCCTGCCTTATATTTTCTTTCAAGATCAAGATATATAGAGTCGACAAATAGACGAAAGTAACTATTGTTAATTAAAAATACATTTAGTATATGTAATGTCGAGTCGAAGGCAAAAGCAAAAGTTTTTCTAATTCTCATGTAGAAATTTTAAATGAATGCTGCTTCATAGGAATACAAAAATAGGTCTGTTAACAACGCAGCTCAATTAGTTCCCACGGGAATTCAAGATTGATAGAAGACCTTATTGCAAAGTCTTGATTATTTTTTATCATTAGATACCCTCGACTTATTTTCTTATTTTCCCCACGAAAAATTAAAGTCCAGGATTTTCGACATCATTGACAGCTGCTTTTTCGATAAAAAATGGAACTCGTAAATTTACTTACCTGGCCATTAGTCATTTGCAAAATTATTTTGTTTAAACACATCCTGATTGCACATACAAGTACACTGTAGTTGACATCAAATAGATGCTTAAGTTTCTGATTGACAATATCTATGTGGTTTTTGGAGACCAGGCCTATTTTTGTATTCATATGAAACAGAATTTGTGCAAAATCTTATGTGTGAAAAGAAGAAAAGACTTGTGGTCTTCAACTCGACATTTAGATATATCGACGACGTATTGCCAATTAACAATGGTATTATCCATTCCTATGTCGATACGATATATCGTGGTGCAGTGGTGAGCTTGAGATAAAAGATACCACGGAGTCCAACACATCTGTTTCATACTTGGATATTTTACTTGAAAAAGACATTAATGGTAATCTAAAAACCAAGTTCTATGATAAACGTGGTGATTTTAACTTTTCTATCGTCAACTTCCCTTACTTATGCAGCAATGTACACGTAGCTTCATCATCTGCATAAGGAGTTTATATATCTCAGTTAATTTGATACGCAAGAGCATTCTCTACGTATGAACAATTTCTAAAACGAGGTAAATTATTGGCAAACAGGTTTCTCAAACAAGAATATCAGCAGTCTCGTTTAAAGTCATCATTTCGTAAGTTCTATGGTCGATACAATGACCTTGTCAGCAATTACAATTTATCATTGAGCCAAATACTGACTGACATTTTTCATACTTATTGTTAGTCCATTATTTATACACTGAATTGACGACGGATTTTCCCGTTATTTCCCGATCATGATAAGGAGCACACGGCGGGTGTGACCGGTTGGCAGGGGATGCTCACTCCTCCATGGCACCTGATCCCAGCTCTGATGTTTTGGAGGTCCGTTTTTGCTCTGCTCCTGTTTTGTATTATTTATTGGACTTTTGATCTTGAATATTGTTCGTTATCTCCATATGTTTCATTAGGATTGCTTTCGGATTTAAAAATTACACTTGTTTGAAACACACATTTGAACTTATACAAAAAGATAAATAGGAGTTCTTTTGAATAATTTTTAGAAATATGTAACACAATTATTGTGTGAATTCTCTCAATTATAATTTTAGTTAATAAGGACTACTTAAAGTCCAGAGATAAATTCGATTGTTGTTACTTTAACTAACATTATAATTCCGAGGAAAAAAAAACAGATTACATGCGCCTTTGCATATGGCTACTTTGTAAAATATAACTTTTCTTTGTTTTTTACACGTGTAATGTTTCAAATATTTTATGGACTTTTGATCTCGAATACTTTTTGTTATTTCCACATTCATTTCATTTTACCTGGAAGCAAACTGTAGTATTAATTTGTCTGAACTATATATAGTTAGTCTCGTTTGATATTTGGATGTCAGATTATTCAAGAAAAATTATACATATACGAAGTAAATACGGGCCAAAATATAATGATCTAAATAATAATCAGTATTTTCATCAGTAAAATTTTTTAGATCTTATATGTCTGCCTTTGTATTTTGTGAGAAAATTCAAACTATTAAGGCATGTGTTTTCATTTTGCAAAATGGTTTAACCCCACCTTGGGACTTAAATTTAATAACAAAATAAATAGAATATGTTATTATTAAGTTTTGAACATTCATATATGGCACGCAACACGTAATAGCCCGCACATGTTTCAATGTTTTTGATATAATGAAATAATAAAATTCCATTAAACACATGTATGTATACCCAAAGTGATTATTTTGGGGAACTTTTATTTCACGGAGGGGATATAATTTTTCAAAAACTGATTTACAAAGTTGTGAAAATTAACCAAATCTGTTAACTTAAGCAGTATTTTATGAAGGAGTTACTTTTTTGTTTGAGGGGTATATTCTTCTATACACATGGAGTCATTTTGGCAAATACATCGATCCTGAAACTCCCCGGATGTAATGGATAGAAAAATATTTCAAATATCCTTCAAAAGATGATATGTTTGCATATCAAAAAATTAATCAAAACATGGTAAACCCCGAAAAATCCCTAGTTCATATATAGAAGTGAAATCACAGAATTAGCAATTCAATGAGTTGCAGTCGATCAATTTGCTTAAGTCATTTAATTATTTATTTACAACCAAGTTATCTTTAAATCCTAATGCGCGCCTCGAGAGCTATCAAAACATTTATCAGATAGGGCAGTGAATTTTGGGATTGACTCCCTGTAAAAATAAAGCAGAATTATTGCTAAATAAAGACAATGTATCGTTATCGGATGGTGTTAGAACTCTTCCCAGTACAAAGTAATTGAATCTCATAGGATGTGTTATGTAATTCTGATAAAACCTGACGTGTTTCTTCAACGATGAATGATAAATGTTTGTTCGCTGTTGCGCTTGGCCTACCTTAACATGCTTAACAAAGTTGTATGGACTGGAAAAAATAGTCTGTAAGACGGATTACAATAAAAGAAAGGGATAGTAATTCAGAAAAATAACATTTTGAGTATGACTAGCCCATCCTAGCCCGTTCTTAAGCGTTCCCACTAGCTTAAAGCAGACGGAATATATATATGTTTTCACATTAACTACCAAAATAAAAGGGAGAATTTAAGTCGCTATTCAGATACTGTATAAAAGCTAATTTTCGTCACGTGTTATTTTCGTCTTATCAAACAACGTTACCCCCTTTTGAAATTGACCAGAAATAAATTCGTGTATAACAAAACCACCCCAATCTTTTATTTAATTCAACCCGTTTTGAATTTGCTTAATATTTGCTTACTCGACATAAGGAATAAGGGGCAAAATAAAATGGGGTCGAAAAATTCAAAAGAGAAAAAAATTGTTAAAAAAGTAAAAATATCTTTTGTAAAAAAAACTGCCAAAAATGTTAGCTGATAATAGCAGTTGTGTCTGAGTTTACATTTAT